TGGACCTTCCTGTAGGTGCAGCTGGACGCGGCCGGGGCGGCGGGCCTGAGGGACCGGCTGAGGGAGGGCGGCGGAGGGCGGGGAGGGCGGGGAGGGCGGGGAGGGCGGGAGGCGAGGGGCGAGGGAGGGCTGGTGGGCGGGCTCGGCGTGGTCGTCCTCTTCGTGTACGCGCGCAGCTGCCCGCACGCCGAGGGTTTGGCGAGAGCTAGCTGAGAGCCGGCCGAGATCTGACAGCTGCTAGCGGTCTTCACACTTGCGGGGGCGGTCTTCACACTACTTCACACTTGCGGCTCTGGAGCAGGTGCCGCTAATCGAGCAGCTGGCGGAGGAGCTGGCCGGCCTCGTCACCCTCGCCGCGGTCGACGCCGAGGCGCACCCAAGCTTGGCGCAGGAGCTGGGCGTGCAGCGCTCGCCGACGCTGCGCCGCTTCTGCGCCGGGCCGCAGTGCGACTCTGCCGCCGCCGAGCGATGGCCAAAGGGAGACGAGTTTTGCGCTTCGGAGCCGTCGCTGCGCCGCTTGTCCGCGTGGGCGTTGGCTCCGGTGCGCGCGGCGCGGGGGGGTGGGAGGGGTGGTAGGAGGGGGTGGTAGGAGGAGGGGGTAGGAGGAGGGGGTGGGAGGAGGGGGTAGGAGGAGGGGGTAGGAGGAGGGGGTAGGAGGAGGGGGTAGGAGGGGCGGTAGGAGGGGCGGTAGTCCGCGGGCCAGCGCTGCTCCCGGTGCCGCCGCCTCGCCGTCACGCCCCCCTCCTCCTCGGCGCAGGTGCGCGAGGAGCCGGTGCATTCGGTGCGCCTCTCGCGCGCCTCGCAGCTGCCCGCCTTTTGGGACGGGTGAGACACTCGCCAGACATTGCCGAGACCCGTGCCCGCCTCTGTGGGTCGAGTGAGAGACGCCTCCGAGACCACTTGTGAGGAGGCCTCTACGAGGCACCCTCGAGAGAGATCGTGTCTCTCCTCCCACAAGCTCGCGCGCGCGGGCAGGTGCGAGCTACTCCCGTGCGGGTGCCTCCTCTCCCTCTCCAACGAGTCGGCGCCGCCCCTCCTCTACCGCGCCCTCGCCGCCCGCCTCGGAGGCGCCTCCTCCGCAGCCTCGGCCGCCAGAGGGCCCCTTGCCTTGTCCGCTCAAGCGGCCGCCCCTCGCCACGGCCCCCAAGCTCACCGCCTCCCCCACTCGCGCCCTCCGCCCCTCACAGGCTCGCCGGCCCGCTTCCGGCTCGGCCACGCCACGCAGCTCTCCTCGCACCGCGACCCGGTCGCACGCGCCGCCGGAGCGCGCCGCGTGCCCGCCCTCGCCGCTCGCCGCTCCGCCTCCTCGCCGGTGGCGCAGAGCCCCGCCGCCCCGCCTCTTCCGCTCTGGCTCGGCGGCGCCCGCCGA